TCTGAGCAGAGAATTCCATAAAAACTCACATAGCTTTTCATTCACTCAGGAAATGTCACCAAACTTCTATGTGTCAGGCATGACCCCAGGGGCCGGCACAGTGTGATGCAATACAAGGTTGGGCAGCTGGGGCTCTTACTAAAGTTGCTCCGTCCTTATACCATCTTGGGGAAGTGCCTTTTCCTCTCTGGGCCTCAGTTTCTCCATCTGTAAAATCAGGTGACAAGACCATATGATTCAAGGTCCCTCCAGTTTACAGCCAAGACAGATCCCCAAGGGAGAAGTTCAATTGAACTCCAAACCTTAATTTCCTCATCTGTGAAAGTGGATTTACAATGAAGAGCACCTACTTCATTGAGCTTTTGTGAGAATTCAATGGAGGAAAATATGTAAATTACTAAATACCAGTGCTTACAGCCTCATCACTATTACTGCTATAATTCTAGCAACTGTCTTGTGTGTCTCTATGTGCAGGGCACTGAGCTAGGCATTGTGGGAGAAAGCATGAAAGGCCTTCCAGGGCCCACCCTCTAGGAGAGCTCAGTGGAGTGCATGGAAGGGGAGAATCCAAATCCAGGCTGGGAAGGTGAGCCTGAAAGCATGCTAGAGGGGATCAGAGGAAGCCTCCTGCTGGGGGAGGAGCTGGGCCTGATTCCTTCTTTTCCAGGAGCCAGTGGTGGCTGGGGCTGGGCTGGGGGTGCCGAAAGGTGGCCTTGTGGGTAAGTCCTTCCAGCTGTGGCCAGGTAATCCTGGGCCTTGGAGCTGGAGAGATGATACCCCCCTAGGGCCAGGCCTGGTCCCACTCAGGATGCTTTCCCTGTGAAAATGCTCAGCAGTCCTCGAATCCAGGAGTGCTCAGGTCCAGCATGAATCATTCCTTTTTGAACTTGTCTACATGTGTTTATAAAATAAAGCTGCGGCCCAGGGCTGCTCCGGGCCGAGCGGGAAGGTAATATGTTTTTAATTGGAGAGATTGGGGGAAGGAGGCAGCGGGCCAGGGTGAGCTCACCCCGCACAAATGCGGCTGGGTGGAGAACAATGTGCATTCACATTCCTGGACTGCAGCAGGACCCAGCTCAGTGGGCAATCTTCGGCTGAGGCCAGGCCTCCACCAGTGCACACCAAGTCGAGGTTAACCAGGAGCGTGCATCCTGGGGGAAGGCCAGGAACCCCGGGTCCGATGTCCACATGCATCAGAGCAGGGGCCACAAACACCAGTGTACCAAGGAGCCAGGCAGGAGCTGGCAACTGCACACACCCAGTGTAGACCAAGTGGATTGGAGGTGCGTGGCCCTTCCACAGGGGCCAGACCACCACTCAACTTTGCCCTCCCCCATCATCAGATCTAATGATTTCTCAAGGGAAGCCAAAAATCATATATGAATGTGAAATCTCATTCTCAAGGTTGGCTTTATTTGGTTTTACCCAATTTTTTTACTTGGCAATGTGGACCAAATGAAACAGATGTGCAGACGATATTCAGTCCTGCAGCTGCCCCCCTGAAGCCCCTCTTTGTCTCCTCTTTGAGACTGGTGGGGGCCTCACTTTTTCAATTACTAGCCATCGGGATTTCAGGGAAATTATTTAGCTTCTCTGAGCTTTGATTTCCTCAACTAGAAATCTGGTATTTTAATGCTATTTTTCCTGACTTTTCTAATGACTTCCAAGTTGAGGATAAAGGGAGGAAAGAAGGTAATATTCAATGGGCATCTGCTATGGCCAACAGGGTGCTAAGTGATTTACCTGTGGTGGTGGTTGTTATTTTGTTTTGTCAATCATCACAATGATTCTCTAAGTTGGATATTATTCCCCTTCTGCAGATGAGGAAACAGAAGTTTGAGGAGCTGAAACTGGAGTTTCAATTAATATTTCAACACTAAGAAGTTGAAATCATCCTCTGAATTTAAGGAACACTTGTCATGATAAGAATGGGGAAACCGAGTGAAAAGTTAATGTTGCACAGCCATGCCTAGTAAAGGCACTAGCTATTCTGGGTCCTAGCTCAGTAATAATAATTCACCCGGTTAATTAGAAACAGTTTTTTATCAAGTAATATAGTCAGAGGAGTCAAGGGTATAGTGAAGGGCGGCACTTCCCTACACTGCTCTAGATAAAAACTTTCCAAATATGTATTACAAGATTCATATTCTTTTACTCAGCAGGTCATCTTGAAGGACCCAATGCTAAAGAAATAAAAGAGCTGTGGGCAAAGATTTTCAAAAAAGGATTCACAGAAAATCCTTGGTATGTAATAGCCATACCAAGGAATATGATGTAGCCTTGCAAGGTAAATGTTTATATGGAATGTGTAAATAACATGAGAAAATGCTCATGATATAATGTTAAGAAAGTAGAATGTGAAATTAGGTATTTATATATTACATTTATATATATAATACTTACATATTAAAATATATATAATACTTCAAGAAATGTAAACAACAGACACAGGAAATTCATCCGTATGTTAGTTCTCTGGGTGGTGAGATTTTAATTTTCTTCATTCTTCTTTTGAAACTTTTAGTTTTCTCTAATGAGCATATTGCATTTTATGATTAGAGATGTATATATTTGTGGGATGTAATGGGCTTCAATTCATGCAGTCCGGGAAGTGGTTATTATGGGCCAATAGGATTATGGGTGATTTTTCTCCCTATTTCTTTATACATCTTTGTGTTTTTCAAACTTTACACATTGAGATTTCTTTGAAATTGGCAAACAAACAAATCATAAAATACTCACTTGCATTTACGACTGTTCCAGGCAGGGAAATATCCTTGGCAGTAGAGCTGAAGCAGAATCTAGACTCTTCTCACTCACTGCTGTGTCAATTCTGGGCTTTGAACCTGTCCCCCCAGCCTCTGCCACCACCAATTCTCTAGGTTTTAATTACACTCGAATCTGTTTAAACCTAAAGAAACATGAAATTGGGATTCTTTTGTAGCTTACAGAAGAATAGCTTGGCTCAGTTTGTTCTCGAAACCTGTTTTCTACCCCCCTGCCAAGTTAAAATGGCCTACTGTTGATTCTATTTAATTGAGGCAAACATGCCTGTGGTCAGGACACTGCTGACCTAGAAGGCACATTTCCCTGACGTTGCTCCAGGATCTGAACTGTGTCTTCCTTCCTATGCCTGCCCTTTCCTGGAGCTAATCACTCTTCTGTCTTGGAAGGCCATCACCTCTCCAAGTGTCCTTGCTAGGAGCAAAGGCCCTGGCATCTCTGGTCAGAGCTGCTTGGGTCTTTGTGGGATTTACCACTTGGTGGGGCTTCAACCCTGTCCAGCTCATCATTTTACACACCCCCAAGCCCAGTAACCCTTGTTCCCTGAGAACGCTCAGTCTCTGTAATCCAGAAGACCTGGAACTGACTCCTATGCAAACTTGAGCCCGGTGCTGTACTTCTCTCGGCCTCCTTTCTGTATCTACGGAGGGTAGGTAACACTGACTTGACCCAGGTGCTCAGAGGATTAAAATAAGATGCCCTGTTATATAAAGTTTTGAACACAGAACAGATTGTCTTTCTTCTTCCCTGTCCAGCATCTTCCTTCTTTCCTGACTCAGGAGCCTCCCTAGGCTGCTTGCATCATGCGTCTCGGCCAGTTTCAGCAGGTCAATTCTCATAAATGCACTTTCCTCAAAGGACGACTATGGGAATTACCTGAGAGACAGCTCTGAATGTGGGCCAGGTTCTTGGCATGTCTGACTTCTCTTCTACATGATCCTCACCATGGATAGTTCTGTGAAATAAGTTACAATCAATTCCATTTACAGGCCACTGAGGCACAGGGAAGTGATATGACAAATGTAGTTTCTTAGTGGAGATTTTGTGTTTAATCACATTTTTCCACCTCCTTTCTGCTCAGTTCTTCTTTCCCTCCCTTCACTGAGGATTCTTCCAAGTTCACAAAAATGAAAATCTTCCTGAAACAGGAAGGCAAATAATTACGAATCCCCGTCCTGGGCCAAATCGCTGACAATCACCTCATTTATTTGGACTCCAGTGGGTTCTTGATTACTATGCTTAAAGCCAATTCCTCCAAAAGCCAATTAATGTAAATTTCATGTTTACCACAGTAACAGTGGCTTTTGGTCAATGGGATAGTGTCAACCTCTTTGGGGAGTTTCTAGGTCCTTTTTAGTATCTTTTCCTACTTTGGGAACTCTTGAACATTTCAAGCTGCTTCAAAAAAACTTTTTAAAAAAGCTAATTCACATAGGGTCGTTCTACCTTAATTTCAAGAAAACAAGCACATTTTGAGTTAATATAACTAGGAGGCAAGGCCATAAAAAATCAGGGAATGATCATGAAGGGGAAATGACAGATCGCCCTAGCATGTGGCCTTGGGCAAGTTATTTCAGCCTCAGTTTTCCTCATTTGTAAAATAGGGGTAATAATGTCTGTCTGGGAAATATGGGGATGTTTAATGATTAACTTCAGTGACACAAATTATGCAAAGCACAGCAAACATGTAGTAAACACTCAGTTATGCACAATAACAATAATTTTTTTATTGGGGAAGACGATTACAGCCTTGTACATTTTTCTGCCACTTACAGTATCTTTGCTTCTGCTTGGCCTGGAGAAGACAGAAGATGCTTAGAATTTGGGATGAAGGGACTTGGAAGTATAAATGAGGCCTCTTCCTCCTGCAAATTATAAACCTGCTGTTAGACCCTGTTCTATTGCACCATACACTGAAATGCATTCCAGATGCACTAAAGAATTGAAATTTAAAAAAAAATCAAACCATAAAGGGGAAAAGACTTCAGTATTTATCAGGCCTGTGGGGAGAAAAAACTGGTTAAACTTAGAAGCATCAGAAAAGAAGACAAAGAAAGAGATGGGCAGAATTGAGTGCAGAAAAATTTAGTACATCTGTACATAAAAAAGGAAAGGAAAATGTATATAGCAAAAGTGATGGGCAAAGGCATCATATCTTTATTATGTAAAGAGCTTGTGCTATATGTATGTATATATGTATGGAAAGAGATGAGAAAGTTATTCAGGCCCTACCAGATCAATGAACAGAGAATTCAAATAAGTAATTCACAAATGAACAAATATATTTGGGGATAATAAAGGAGAAAGTAATCTAATTGGCAATCCAAGAAATTAGTTATCACTTTTCTACATCAAATAGCACTGACTTTTAAAATAATGATACCTAGTGTCAAAGAAGGTGAAGTGGAATAGACACTGATAGTAGGAATGTAAATCAGCCTAAACCTTTATAGTATCAGGTGTTGTAAAAGAAATCATCTAGTATATGGTTTGGGGAAAACTGGAGAAAAAAAATTAAATTGGACCCCACCTTAAAGCACTTATAAAGGTGGATTCCAAGTGGATTAAACACCTAAATGTGAAAGGTAAATGCCCAATAATTATCTTGCAGTTTGATCAACAAGTTCCACTTCTGGGAATTTAATGGCTGGGGCTCATTGAATCTGGTTTCTGGTACAGGAACTTAGTAGCCGTGTGGCCTTGGACAGGACATTTTGTTTCTCTGAGTCTCAGTTCTCTCATCTATAAAATGAAAACCTACCTTATGGGTAATGTATGTAAAACACCTGGCACAGGTAGGTGTCTTTGACAAAGCTGGGTAATTATTCCTTGCCACCTGGGTCCATAGTTAGATCAACTTTTGTGGCCACTCTTGTGTCGGTATGATCATGCAAGTAAGTTCTGGCCACTGGAAAGCAAGCAAAATTGATGAGTACTCTTCTAGGTCTCTCACACATAATCCCATATTTGCTTTCCCAACCACTGGCTGAATAGAGAGCATCTGGGGCCACGCAAGACAGTAGTACTTCAGGTTGGATGAAACCTGAGTCCCTGAATCACTACATAGAAGGCTACTTGGCCAAGAACCCCTCATGAGGCTTTATGAGCATAAGTTATAAACTTCTATGCGGTTAAGTCACTGAGATTTGGAGATTCTTTATTATAGCAGCTAGTAATACTTAATCCTGATTAACAGAGTGCCCAATAATTATCTTGCAGTTTGATCAACAAGTTCCCCTTCTAGGAATTTAATGGCTGGGGCTCATTGAATCTGGTTTCTAGTACAGGAACGCAAGCTTTCTTAATCCAGTCATTAGTTAAAAGAGCACATTAGAAGATATCCAGAGACGTGGCAAAGAAAAATGGATTCTGTTGGTTGACCTAAGGTTTTGTTCTAAATTGTTAAACTGGGGTTTTGCACATTCTGGGTTTCGGATTGGCTAGAGTGTTTTGACTAGACTAGACTAGAGCTCAAAAAATATTCAAAGGATAAGCCAAAATAAAAGTAGAAAAGGGAAAATATGGAAGTAATCAGATTGTCACTATCGGCTGATAATGGTCTGTCTGTGGGCACACAGCCAAAAAATGTTAACTCTGGCCAGCCACTCCCACACCCCAGGTAATCTCCTGTAATAGACAACTGTGACAGCTAGTCTAGGGAAGGGAGGGCACAGCTCAGGGGGGCACTGAGTCAAAGGTAATTTCTCTTACCGTGTGCCTCCAGCCTTGATTCCTAAAGAATACTGAAGCCTGTCTGTGTGTGTGTGTGTGTGTGTGTGTGTGTGTATATGCCTCCAAATACCTCACTAAGAAAATCATTTTAAATGCAGAAAAATATTTATGCAAAAGAATATTTAGGGCAGTATTATTTACATAACAAAAAACTTCAGAAGCAACTGAAATGCCTGTGGCCCATATCTCTGGTTTCCTACCCAACAGCTATTTCCCTTTCTTCCTTAGAAAACAGTATCCCAATTTTGTTCTGACCCCAAAAGCTAAGTCAGGATTATTCTAACCTAATCTTGGTCCTTTGGTTCCTTCTTGTTAATAGTCGGTCTAGGATTGGACATATGATTCTGTAAGGGAAAGTTTGCTAGGGGCTTTTTAGAAAGAAAAAAGACAGAGGCACTCAGGGAAAATGGCCTTTCCTCTTATTACCTCATTCCCTTGGCAGTTTGGGGTCTGCTGATGAAGATGTGATTCCTGGGGATGCTGCAGCCACCTTGTCACTATGAGGATAAGGTCTGATAGACTCACAGAGACATCAATCCAGAGCTATTGAGCCTCTGAACCAACCTGGAAGCTTGTTAAGTGAAATAATTAGGTCTTTTCTGTTCAGTTTTATTTAGGTGTTCTGTCCTAGGTTCACCCTGTGGTGTTACTGGAGTGAAGTGGGCGGAAAAATCCTTGGAAAACTAAATTAATATACCTGAAGTCACCTAGACACAGTACCCAACTCTCCTTGGGGAAGTCTAAAGGCAAAAGCCTGTGTGGTCTGCCCATGAGAACTGATGAAAAAGGGAATAGTGCACTAAGAGTGGGCTGTTCTTCCACACTTTGGTGGGCCAAAAAAATGTTTCCTCATGGGCTAAGTAGGTATCTCACCATTCCCTTTTTGCTCTTCCATACTTCCAACACTCAATTAATCAGTCTCCTGTATTAAGTCTTCTCTGTTTGAAATGTCTCGCATGGTTTCTGTTTCCCTAACTGAATCTTCATTGATACATCCTTCTTCCTAAGGGCTGATGTGAAGAATTTCCAGGTGAGACCAGCACTGTGGAAAGGAAAGAAGCTAAATTAGATGTGAGATTGCAGTTTTGATAGTAGATATTGCTAAGTTTTTCATAGCTGAAAATGAGGATATTCTAATTCATGTAATTGATTGGGATATCCAGGATAATCACCTGCAGGCAGGGGAGGGAGATGTAACAGATCAGGCATGAAAGGAAATAGAGACAAAGAAACCAGTCAACAACATAAAACAGTGTTGAAGAACAAGACAACTAGGCCCAAAATGGAGTCACTTAGGCTAAGCCCCATGTTACCAAACTAAGACTTAATTACAGTTTAGCTCTCTCAGAAATGGAGTCTTAAGCCAGTCAGTCAGGAACTGCCTGATTAGCCCTAGTTAGGTAATCTGCCTGATACATCCCTGCCATACCCTAAAGGAAAGTAACTTTGCAATAACCAACCAACCTGTTATTTTGCCTAGTATAAGGCCCTTACTACTGCTCCTTTCTGCCTATAAAAGTTGGTCGTTTTGTGTGCCACCTTGGAGCTCCTTTCTATCATCTAGAGCAGATGCTGCTGTCTGCTTTGAATCGATTTTTGCTCAATAAATTCTTCATATTTTTCATAGGCTTTAGTTTATCTTTTAACAAAGAAATGAGTTACACCACAGAAAAACATGTTAGTAGGAATTGTACCTTGGAAGCTGCCAGCAAATCTGGTCATCTGACTTGTTTGTTTGGTTCAATCAGTGTTTCTGTCATTCAGGGTTTTTCAACAATGGCATTATTGACGTTTTAGACCAGACATTTCTTTGCTGGTGGGGCGGCATGGTGCTCAACTGAGTATGTGGGATGTTTCGCAGCATTTTGTAGCCACTAGAAGCCAGTAGTGCCCTCCGGTTATGATATTCAAAAATGTTTCCAGACACTGCCAAATATCTGAGGGAGTGGGGAGTGGGTGACAAAATTAAACAGTGCTTTAATTGGACATTTTGCATGTTAAAAAAAAATGTAGATTTTCAACCTCCCTTGAAACCTCTGAAGGGAAAACCTTCAGATTGGTAACAAAGAGCCTGCATTTCTACCTGGCTGCAATCTACCACTGCTGATGGGATAGTATGATTTATGATAAGAAATATATATCTGGTCTTCATCCCATTCCTGGCACAGAGCTCCAAAAACCCTTGAAAGGAAAGCAATAAAGGTCTTTTGTTATGTTAATGAAGTGGCTTTTGGACTTTACCTAAGGATGGGGGCTGGTTGCCAGGGGAATCAGCCATGTGATTAGAGGTTGGAACTTCAGTCCCACCTCCAGATGCCCTGGGAGGGGAGAAGGGCTGGAGATTGAGTTCAGTCCCCAGTGGCCAATGATTTAATCTATCATGCCTGTGTAATGAAGCCACCATAGAAACCCAAAAAGACAGGACTCAGAGGGCTTCTGGGTTGGGAAACACAGGGACATTTGGGGAGACTGGCACACCTGGAGAAGGCATGGAAGCTCTGTGCCTTTTCCCCATACTTGTCCTATGTGTCTCTTCCATCTAGCTGTTCCTGAGTTATAGCCTTTTGTAATAAACTGGTAAACTAGTAAACAAACTGTTTTCCTGAGTTTCATGAGACTCTCTAGCAAATTAGTTAAACCCAAGGGGTTGTGAGAACCTCTGATTTATAGTCAGTTGGTCGGAAGCACAGGTGACAACCTGGACTTGCAATAAGCATCATAAGTAATGGGGAGAGGACAGTCTTGTAGGACTGAGCCTTTCACCTGTTGAATATGATGCTATCTCCAGGTAGCTAGTGTCAGAACTGAGTTAATTGCTTGGTGGTAGAAAATGCACATTGGAGCTGATTACCAGTGCTCCTATTAGATTGTTACCTATTATCTAGTGATGAGTAACAAATTACCCCAAAACTTAGTGGCTTAGGACATTTATTATCTCACAGTTCCCATGGGTCAGGAATCTGGGCTCAGCTTAGTAGGATTCTCTGGCTCAAGGTCTCTCACCAGGCAGCATTCAAAGCTCGACTAGAAAAGGATTTGTTTCCAAGCTCGTCGATGTGGCTGTTGGCAGGATTCCATTCCTCGTAGGCATTGGACTGAGGACCTAGGCAACTTGCTGGCTGTTGACCAGAAGCCACCCTGGTTCCTTAACCCAGGGACTCTCCATATGACAGTTCACAACATGGCAACTTGATTCATTGGAGGAAGCAAACAAGAAGAGTCAGAGAGAGACAAAGAGAGAATGTGTATGCATGCCTGAAGCCACAGTCTTTAATAGTCTGATCTCAGAAGTGTTATCTATCCCTTCTGCTTTATTCCATTTGCTAGCAGTGAGTCACTGAGTTTAGCTCACGATCAGCATGAGGGGATTTTACCAGGGCACGAATACCAAGAGCCGGGGATCACTGGGAGACATCACAGAAACCGCTGTGTTCCTTTCCTAGGCTGCTGTAACGAATTACTCAAACCGGGTGGCTTAGAACAACAGAAATTATTGTCTCACAATTCTGAGGGCTACAAGTCCAAAATCAAGATTTTAGCTGGGCCAGGCTCTCTCTGAACGCTCTAGGGAAAGACCTTTCCTTGCTCTTTCTAGCTTCTGCTGGTTGCCAGCAATCCTTGGTGTTCCTTGGCTTGTAGACACATCACTTTGGTTTCTGCCTCCCTTGTCACCTGGTGTTCTCCCTATGTGTCTGTGTCCAGATTTCTTTCATTTTATAAGTACATTGGTCATTGGATTATGGTATATTCTAATCCAGTATGACCTCACCTCAAGTGGATTACATTTGCAAACACCCTATTTCCAAATAACATCACATTTACAGGTACTGGGGATGAGGGCTTCATTCTTCCTTTGGGTGTGAAGGGTGCAAAATTCAACTTACAAGTCCTGCCCACCATAGACATAGCATATGCATCACTGTTGAAGAGTGGACCTGAACATGGGACAGTGGTGCTTGTCTACTCTGTGGTGATACTTCATTGACCGAGATCCTTACACAATTGCAAATGCCCCTGGAAGGTGACCTGTCCCTCTGGTGCTCTGTGCTTCAGCTCCAGACTCCAGCCCTTCCATTCACACACAAGGGCTCAGCTCTTGCTGCCTGTGCCTTCCCCTGCCATGGTGTTTCTCACTCCGATTTCATGGTCTGCCTCTTGCTAGTCTTCTTGTCTTTGAGCAACTTGAGGTCAGGGACCTCAGCTGGTTCATTTCTGAGTTCCCAGTACCTGGCACTGGGCCTGAAACCACATGAGTTGATGGGTCAATTGTATGAGTCAATAAATGCATAAATGGAGAGCCAAAATGTATGGTATTCAACATTATAAAAAATAAGAAAAGACTGGGGAGCATTCACAGCTTGGAGACCAAGGAGCTATCATGACTAAATGCAATGTGGTATCCTGGAAGGGAGCCTAGAACAGAAAGAGGACATTCGCGAAAAAGCTGATGAAATTCAAATAAAGTCAGTGCACTATGAGTAGTTCACTGGTGTCCAATTAATGTTCTTAGTTGAGATAAATGTTATGGAAGATGTTAACATTAAAGTGAACTGGGCACATTGCCTGTGGAAACTCTCTTACTATTTTTATAACTCTTGTAAATCTAAAATTATTTCAAAATAAAAACCCAAATAAATTAATGTTGTGAAAGGGCCAAAGCTAGAATTGTCCAGGGATTTACTCAATTGGTGAGTAAGTATGGACTTGAAAGAGAAGATGGAGGGACTTAGGATCAGGGGTCCATAGGGAACAAATATCCAACCAGGATCCAGTAGAAGGAAGGAGGCAGCTTTGCTCAGTTTGGGGAAGCCCTCTTAGCTGTTCATCTGCAAAATGGATGAAAAGCCCCGTGCCGAAAGGGGCCTTGACAGCACTGCAGGTGTAGCTGGGGTTGCCTGAAGCCCCCAGTGCCATGGACTGGAGCACTTTAGAGCCTTCTAAGATTTCTACAAATTTTCAGGGGTTTGAAGTCTCATCATCTGCCCTTCTTTTTGGCTTCTGCCCTAAGAATATGTGTTGTCCAACAGCCTCATTTGCTGGATTCATCTCTCTCTCTCTCACACACACACACACACACACACTCCACTGGGGAGTTTAGGAGAGTATCTGAAACCACGAGAAGCACAGGTCAAAGAGCCATCTGACATAGCAGAGCCTTCCACACCCTTGCTGGCTCCTTTCCTCACTTCTCTGCAGGCCTCTGCCCTCCCCTCCTCTCCTCTCCCAGGCAGTCTGTGTAGGGCAATCAAGCTCTCCTCTGGGAAGCCCTGCCTTCCAAAGTCCTCAGCATCTTACTTCCCCCAGTTCAGACCATATTAAAATACATTTCCCATCATAGGAGAAATGTTGATATTAGTTATTAAAATATCATTTGCTTTAGCTCTTTACAGGAACTGAAGCCAGTGCTGTCTCCTCTTGGGCTTGTTACAGCTATGGCTTTGATCTACAGTGTCTAGACAAACTTGTGGGTCAGAATCAGTTGGGAGAAGCCTGGCAATGTAATTATTTGCTGATGAAAAAGCACTGATATTTCCAGTGATTTGAGTTAAAAATCATTCTACTTAGAGTATATCCGGGGCCAACCTGCAACAATGTCATCTTTCCTCATTTGCATGCTAATAGAGGAGGGAGGGATAGAATATGAAAGTAGCCCATGGAAATGTCACATGTCTGACTACCCTGTCACAGGAGGGCCAACAGAAAAATAGTTTGAGAGGTGCTGGGTCAGAGGATCAAGTAAGATGGTTACAAACTGTAAAATATTTAAGTGACGTTAATAACCAAACCTCACATTGAGCCTGGAAGAGCTCTTGAAGGTGAGCTGGTCCAGCCCCAGCTCCTGTCATTTTACAGATGGGGAAACTGAGGCCCATGGAAGGGAAGTGACATTCCCAAGGTCATACCAGCCTGGACTGGATCCCAGGGCTGCCCCCCACCCCCAGCACTTCAGAGTCTTTCTCATAGCTAGAGACCCTCAGATGAAATAGGACAGCCATGGGGATTGATTAGTGGCTGGCCACAAGGCCCTCTGTCTGCCCCCAGCCTGCTTCTAACAAGGCCAAGAGGGGAGCTCTATTCTTGGTCACTCAGGGACAGCATTGCTCTGTAGCATCTTTGCTGACTTTTCTCCCTGGAGCATGTCTTCATTGATAATTTTAAGAATAATTAGGACGGAACACATGCACTTAGCCAATGTCCAGGTGAGAAAGGTTGGGCAAGTTGGGAAGATTGGGATTCTGGCCCTGTGTGTCCTACTGCCGACCTTGGCCATGTATGTTACCTAAGCAGGCCTTGCTTTCTTCTGTAAAACCGGGACAGCTGCCATGCTCTGGAGCACTTCAGTGGGCCCGGCACAGTTCTAAGTATATTGCTTGTGTTAGGCATTTAATCCTCAAGACCACCCAGCGAGGCAGCTACTGTTATTATCCCCATTTCACAGGTGAAACAAAGCAGAGGGAAGTTGAGTTACCTGTAGAGTAAGAAAGTGGGAGACGAGGAATGCAAAGGCAGGCAGCTGGGCACCAGCATCCAGGTCCTCCAGCAGCAGGTGCTGTTTGGGAGGTGGGGGGCAGGGAAAAGTTCATCCGCAGAATCCCACTGAGCAGAGGCACATCCTGGCTTCTGAGCTCCTGCTACCCTCCAAATGGCCAGCTGGGCTGCCAGGACAGCAGGGAGCTGGAATCCACACAGATTTTATTTTAATCCTGGATAATAATAGTTACCATTTGTTGGCACTGGTTTTAAGAGCTTAAATTACATGATCTCATTTTTTTTCTAAACAACTCATTTTGAAGATGAGAAGTCAGAGGTCCAGAGAGGGTGAGTAACTTCCTAGAGACGCACCACTAGGGGAGTGCGGAGCCAAGGCTGTAACCCAGGACTGCCCAGCTCCAACATCCGAACTCCTGAGCACGCACTTCTTCCCAGAGCAAAGAACCCCCGGTCCAGTCTGGAGTAAGGGAGAGGGGATGGCCAGAAAGAGAGCCTTGGGAAGGTAGACTTTCTTTCTATGCCCACATTCCCATGCCCACTCCTACCTGACAACAGCCATGCCTCCGGGGCAGGGCTGAGAGAAGCTACAGCATTTCTCCCAGGCTCCTAAACCTATCCTAGCTCTGAGTCTCCCAGTGTCTGGAAACAATGCCACCACAATTTAGGGTAACTGTGCGTGTGCCTGTATGTGGACCGTTTCCACCCCTCCACTGCACCACAGCTAACACTGTGATCCGATGCGCATAGAACCGCCTCCACTGGATCAATGTGTCATGATAATCATAGCTACCTCTCACCAAATGCCTAGCATAGGCAGGGCACTGTGCTAAGGACAGTGAAAATCCCCTCACTCATTCTTTCTAAAGACGCTTTATAACGAGTGCTCAGGAAATTGAAATGCAAGGAGGTAGAGTAAGGAATGTGGCCAAGGCTGCACAGTCACCAGGTCACCCAAACCTGTCAGATTGACTTCAAAATCCATGATTTTAATGCCAACTTTAGGCTGCATATTAGCCTGTGCCAAGACAACAGAGATCAAGAAGGCACAGTCCTTGTTCCCAAGTAGCTCACTGTCCTGTAGCAGGGACACCTGGATGAACACATTGCAACTGGGTGAAGGTAGGAGGAATGACAGGTGCGGGGCTGGGCCCTGGAGTTGCCCAGGGGAGGGAAGTGTCAGCCTGGATGATGTATTCTTCATGACTCAAAGGCAAAGGGGGAAAAGACAGGGCTGTGGCAGACAGTGAGTGGCTCATGGTTCCAAAAATTTCAGGAAATGGCTTCAAGCATGCCTTGATCCAGCAATCAAAGAACGGTTAACAGGAGTGTCTTTGCAGTTTCAGGCTGTACTTTCAGCCATGTTGACTTTACTTCTAAGAAGTCTCCCTGACAGGAGGACATCCAGTAGAGGCAGCTGGTCCACACGCTACAAGGTCAACATGCTCAGCAGCCCCACTGGGACAGAGTCCCTGATTACTCTCAACTTCAGCCCAGTTCCCAGGATTGGGTGTCACTGGGTTTGCTCAGGTCTCACTCAATCAGTTTGGCAAGAAAGGTACAATCATTGATCAGCTGTAGCCCAGGTCTGAGACACCTGCTCACTCCTGAGACTAAAGGAAGGAGCCAGCCCCCTGCACATTGGGGAGCTGGCACTGGGAGAAGGGGCAGCAGGTCCTGAGTGGGCAACACCAGTGCCCGCCCAAAGTCGGTCAGGTGAGGGAGACTTCACAGCAGAGGACCCCTGGGAACCTGGTTCTGAGGGACAAAGAGAAGCATGCTGGGCAGAGCCTGCTTGAGGAAAGGGTGCTGCCTATCAGAGGGAACAGCCTGTGCCTGGCCGTGGAAGTGTGAGCTAGTAGTTTGGCATATCTGGAGGCCTGAGCATACATAGGACAGGAGCATGAGATGTGGCGAAGAGGGGCAGGTAAGGGACTGCAGGCCTGGGGCCATAGTAGGAGCTTGAACTTGCTCCTGAAGGCACCCCAGGGAGGTAGTGCCTGACAGTCAAGGGCAAGGGCTCTGGGCTGGACCCCCTGCACTGCCCCTCCCTCTCTGGGCAACTCTGTCTGATTCTCAACCTCTCCATCTGTGAAATGGGGAGGATATGGTCCAGCCTACACAGAATTCATGATAAATTCATGAGGCAAATTCATGATAAATAATTTGGCTGGATAGTAAGTACTCACGGACACAAACATTACTGTGGATGAATTTTAAGCATCAGAGGAACATGCTCCAATCCATACTCTAGAGAGCCTCCTCTGGGACAGGGTGGGAGATGGAGGCCAGGAGACTACTAGAAGAGTGATGGCTCGGGTCCTGGTGGGAGAGAATGGAACCCTCTGAGGAGATGGAGAGCACAGGACCGGTGGGACCGTGCCTCCCCTGCATGTGGCAAGGATGGGATGGAGGGCAAGGGAAGGATGCAGGACAAAAGTAAACAGAAAGACAAAAATCTATCCTTGACTTTGGATCCCTTAACTTCTCACTTTTGAGCAAACAGATTTTCTCAAAAAAAAAATTCAACCGATTTCCCTAGTTTTTTTCTTTTCCTCTTTCTAATACCCACCCCCTCCCAAAAAAATCCCTAGACCGTTTGATTCCCAGTTTTGAAATCTTAAAAGAGTTTCGTTTTCAGCCTGAACGTGCTTTGCGGGTTCCACTGCTCATCTGCCCCACCTGCGAGGCTAGGCCCCGGGGCTTCAGTGAGAGAGGGACTCGGGCGGTTCGGGCGGGTGTACGAGTGACGCCATTCACCAGGATGAGTCCGAATCTTAATCAAGTGCTCAGAACTCAAGTTCTAATGAATCCTCAGCAAAAATAAATGAAGAAGAGGAAGAACAGGAAGCGGAGGAGGAGGTGATGGTGGACGAGGAGAACAGAGACAACAGTGGCAGTGACAAAATCAAAGAAAACAGAAATTTGACCAGAAAAGCCACTTAGCAGAATCTTTCACAAGAGCTATTTGATGTCTAAGAGTAAATAATAAGGAAGCTGACACTGTCCTAAACTCTCATTTCAAAGCCATTTTTACAATCATTAGTTCATCAGTGAATGAATTTGGAACATATGGATCATATTTCACTAGCATCACATGATTTTAAATCAGAGGAAAATGGCTGTGGGGAAAACAAACCATGAAAGGGCCATTTTTTAAAAAAACATTTTATTTTTTGGTTTTCTAAGACCTACAGCTTGGTAACTGGATGAAATGAAGTTGGACATAGATAGATCGGGTTGCTCATCAGGTTTAATGAGAATATACACCTCGGGTTTCCACTACAGCACCCAAGCTTCCCTGGTTGGAAACGCTAGAGGGAAGGAAGAAATAGGTACATGTACCTGTCCAGGTACCCAATAAATCTCAGTGAGAATTTCCCTGGGGAACCAGCTGCTGGGCACAACAAGCCAAATGCCCCTGGATGCTTGATATCAAAGTGCAGTGGACATTCAGAAGGACTTTGAGGTTCGTGGCCTCTTGTATTGCTCTCTGCTGGCAGGATGTGGGCAATGCCCCCAGACACCTCAGGCCTCATTATTAATAGCAGAAATGACAATAGCTGAAGCCTGTTGAACTGCCGCTATGTGCCAGGCCATATTCAAATACTTGACATTCCTTAACTCATTTAATCTCCTCAGACTCTGTCCTCTCTTTCCCTTTATAGATAGGAAAGGGGGTGTAGGAAGGTCCAGTAAGCTATCCATGATAACCCGTAGTTACATGGTGAAATGCATCTTCAAACCCAGGTACCTGGGCTCTTACCCACTAAGTGGGAATGCCGCCCCAGACATGGTGGAGGTCTGGAGAGCTTCCCTCTCCTTGTCACCCAGCACCCATGGGGAGGCTTAAAGCATCCCTCTACAGTGTACCCCAGGCCTGCCGTGTGCTTATGTTTCTCCCAAAGATGAGATCTCCTGGAAACACCAACTTCAAGGCCAAGCCTGGCGTCAGCATGCCCCTCCTGGGCCCCGGAGAAGGACTCCCCAATGATCTTGCCTCCCTCCCCGCCTGCACGGGCTGACAGGGCGTGCAGCCCTTCATGGAGGTAGGAAATGTCTGCAGGCAGCACACACTTCCCCAAGAAAGCATCACTTCTCTTCAAAGACTAGGATCTTCCAGGGTGACAAAGGGCCTAGGCCCCAAGGAGGGTGGGAAAAGAGGCCTCCAGGTTGCCTTTTGCAGTCCCCCCACTCCTCCTTCCTCACTCCTCTCTAAATACACCAGCCCTCCTTCTGTCCCCAAAAGTACAAGGAACTTTCCTGCTTCCCAGCTTTGCCAACACTGGCCCCTCAGCCTACAGAGCCCTTCCCTTCAGGCTGCAGCTTCGTTGCCTCCCTCCCCTGACCACCCTGTCCCAGGGGGCCCCTTTATTCTCTCAGCCCCTTGACTCTCTTGCTGCCCTGGCTTTTCCCCTTCTGCGCCTTAACCCTGGTCTGTAATTGCAAGTTAATTTGCTCACTGAGTGTTCATTCTCTCTCCCCTTTGTCTGTGCCCTCCAGCAAGTCTTGCACAGTCTGCAATAAAACAAGATGGAGCACAGAGCCCTAGTGAGCCTGGAACATCCACAGGTGCTCCAGAGCTATTTCACTGAACTAAAGGTATCAGTCAGATTCTAATCTTGGAGTGGAGCTCTGAAGAGAGAATTTTCTCTTCATTTCCTATCTTTGGGACTTTATATTCTGGGGGAGCTGGACTGGGGTCCTGAGAGGTACACAAAAATTTATTTTCATTTTATTCCAATTTGACAAATGCATAGGTGGGGAACCTGTGACATGGAACCTGGAAGTACTAGCCCTGCCCTCTGGAAGCTCTGAGTCCCAGGTGGGACACTGACGCAGACTGCCCAGCTTGAGGGAGGCATCCAGGAAAACGGCCAGTGGAGTCTGGACAGGTGAGCATGACCTTGCTCAGCAAGGAAGGGGGCAGGATGTCCCAGGCATACAGGCAGAAGAAGCAAAGGCCTAGAGGTGAGAGAGATCATGCATATTTAGGGGACCTCCCATGGTTTGGCATGACTAGCATGGAAAAGGTGGCAGAGGATGAGGGTGGAGAGCCAGGCCACAGCCAAATCCTCAGATTCATCAGATCCATGCAGGGGGGTCTCCTGAAGGTTTCCACCCCATAGTCTAATTGCATCCTCCTGTTGGCAGAGTGGCCAGTGTGGAGGAGACAAGACTTGGGG